AATCTAATGGACCACTCTTATGGACAATATACTTACAAAGTGGGAGTAAAGTGGACAATAATTCCAAGAATCCCCATATTGGAGAGTGGTCCATTAGATTCTTACAAAGTGTATATTGTTCGTGAGAGTGGTCCATTAGATTATCCCCATATTGGAGAAGTAAAGTGTACAATAATTCCAAGCTTACAAAGTGTATATTGTTTGGAGTAAAGTGGACAATAATTCCAAGTCCAATATGGGGATAATCTAATGGAACACTCTTATGCACAATTAGTTAAACAATCTTTGTCAGTTTTTGCCATTATTTTATGATTTACAGCTAGGGCCAGCATAATGGAAAGTAACATTCATGCTTACTTGTTGTCAGTTACATATTATATAAAAATTAGCTTGTTACTCAAGTTATTCAGTAATGTTATTCTATAACATTTAGCTTGTTACTCAAGTAATTCAGTAATGTTATTCTATAACATTTAGCTTGTTATTCAAGTAATTCAGTAATGTTATTCTATAACATTTAGCTTGTTATTCAAGTAATTCAGTCATGTTATTGTATAACATTTAGCTTGTTATTCAAGTAATTCAGTCATGTTATTCTATAACATTTAGCCTGTTATTCAAGTAATTCAGTCATGTTATTCTATAACATTTAGCCTGTTATTCAAGTAATTCAGTCAACTAAATGTTATAGAATAACATGACTGAATTACTTGAATAACAAGCTAAATGTTATAGAATAACATTACGAATTACTTGAATAACGAGCTAAATGTTATAGAATAACATGACTGAATTACTTGAGTAACAAGCTAAATGTTATAGAATAACCCTGTTACTCAAGTAATTCAGTCAAGTTATTCTATAACATTTAGCCTGTTACTCAAGTAATTCAGTCATGTTATTCTATAACATTTAGCTTGTTATTCAAGTAATTCAGTCATGTTATTCTATAACATTTAGCTTGTTACTCAAGTAATTCAGTCAAGTTATTCTATAACATTTAGCTTGTTACTCAAGTAATTCAGTCATGTTATTCTATGACATTTAGCTCGTTACTCATGTAATTCAGTCATGTTATTCTATAACATTTAGCTTGTTATTCAAGTAATTCAGTCATGTTATTCTATAACATTTAGCTTGTTATTCAAGTAATTCAGTCATGTTATTCTATAACATTTAGCTCGTTACTTGAGTAATTCAGTCAGACGTTATTCTTTAACAATTGGTTTTCTACTTAAGTAATTAGCATTAACCTGTGTGTCATGAAATATGTCAAGTGAAACTGGTCTTAATGTCAGGAATTACAGAAATGTTTCAGTAAATTACAAGTTATGGAAAAGTAAGTGCATCTCGTCACTACCATAATGAGATGCAAAGTTTGAGACTGGTATTGTGTGGTCAATATACAGATGAAATGTACAAGTTTATAAACTAGACAAAGGGAAGTGTATCTGATATTTATTGTAGTATGATACAAGGTTAGAAGTTCGTATCATGTGTCAGCATGTTGATAAAAAAGTTCAATAATTAGACAAACATATCCGAGAATTACTCTAGAAAGATGCAAGGTTTAAGATCTTAATTTTGTGTTAGCTGTGTACATAAAATGTTGTGTAGCTAGACACAGATAAGTACATGCAATAGCTATTACAGAAGTATGCAAGCTTTAAAACTGGTATTCCATATACTGACCAACTTAACTAGAGTTGTCTTCAAACATGCACAGTTTATTATCAGGTATGTTCATATGAACTACACACAAGTTCAAGAAAAGGTGGTTATAGGAAGAAAAAACAGGATATTACAAGCGCAATGTTTATTTTTTTAACAACCCTTTTATTATCACTAGGCAGTACCTGTTTTGGAAACAGCTGTCCATCACCTGATCCCGGTTGATACCTCAGTTGTCGAGGTGTCATGACATGGGGTGAATGAGGTATAGTTTGGTTACTAGAACTTCCACAAGAGACTTCTAGCCTTCGTCCATTTCCTGTACTTGAGTTTCTGGTAAACCTAGAGTTGTTTTTTATTCCTTCGAGTAAACGGATCAATAAAATGTTACAAGGCAGATCTTCCACTTTAGTCTCGACCAGTACTCTACACTCGGGACACCGTAGCTCCTTGTGGGAGTTCACAATCTCCTCCAAACACCGCCGACAAAATGTATGTTGGCATGGCAACACTTTACTTGAGGTATCCAATTGTTCTAAACATACAGAGCACTCCAAAATGTCATTCAGAAATGTTTCATCCATGCTGGGAAATGCTTACACATGTGTATTTTTAGTCAGTTACACAGCACAGAAACTCTTAAAACATTGTGACCTGAAAAAGAAACAACAATTATGAATATCAATTAAATAATCAGTAATACACCACTTCTTTCTATGCATAGAGTTTACCTTGAAATATCTTAGATGGTGTAACGATAGGTGTGAACAGTCTTTAACAACACACTAAAATGAAGGACATGTAACACATGTATCGTACTTCCTGACAATCATGTTTATATACTTTATCTAAAAATAAGTTATCTTCAAGTATAATCTACAGTGTTAACCACTAACACGTGTAACACTTCTTGACAATCATGCTAAGAAATCAGCCACTCCTATAAAAACACAGCTGATGAACTGTATGACATTTTATGACAAACATGCTAAGACATCTGTTACTTGTATAAAATCAGTGTTAATAACTCGTGTGACAATTTAACACAGTTGTTGTATGTATCTAATCACATTTTGTTCAATATATATTCATGAAATAACTTCTTTAATCCTATTTGTCTGCTCATACTTCTTGACCAAATCTGACCTAAACTTTGATGGACTTAAAACACAAGTTCAATTCTTCACATCTGTCAAACATTGTTTAAAACTTCCTAAACTATCAACATTAACATCGTTAGCTCTAACATAAGCTACAGTGTGTTTCTTTCAAGGATCCAGTCACCAAATTATTATCTTATCTAAACTACTTACATGTATAGTCATCCTACATGTTGTACCACATCCTGAATATCAGCACAGAATATGCAAACTAGTTATAGACATCCTATATGATACAGGACATCTTGAACCTTAGCAAACCAGTTATAGACATCCTATATGATACAGGACATCTTGAACCTTAGCAAACCAGTTATAGACATCCTATATCATACAGGACATCTTGAACCTTAGCAAACCAGTTATAGACATCCTATAT